GTGTGTGTCGTTTTGTTAATTTTTATTTTGTGGTGTATGGGGCGCCGTTTTATTTTTTATTCAGGAATTATTTTAATGTGTTAACACTAAAGTGATATTTTCACCCATAATATAACAAGTGGTATGATTATCATCGATGATATTTTCGAAGAGTCCGCAGGACGAGTGAAATGTGCTGCTTCGGTTTCAATGAGTAAATATCTTCGATTATTAATCATACCACGAGTTATATTTAGGTAGTGAGAAAATACAATGAATTTTAGGATTTAAAAAATTTTTAGATTGACATTTAAAATTAAAACGTGCTTTAAAATATAAAAAGACTTTAATAAACCTTATTTATTCAAACTTACCTTAATTTCATTATCGTTTACACCAACACATCGATCTTTTAGAGTTTATAATTCATTATTTTATTGATATATATCAAACACAGAATTTAAATGACAACAAATGTTAAATCAAGAAAAGTGTCAAAATCCTTAGTACCGTGTAAACAAGATGATAAAAAATATTGCCGCTGGGATAAAATGCGTAACTATGGAATGCTGGCATTTTATTGGTTCTAATATTAATGAATTGTATTGTCAATGAGATAAAAAATATCACACAAGAATTTTTATTCTGCGAATTAATAATATCATAGGTAGCAAATATTTTAAAATTGGATTTAATTTTTATGCTTAACTGATGTTTTTTATTTATTAAATTTAAAATGTCTGTTTCTTATATTTGTATTTTTTTGGTAAACACAAATTTTTAATTCGAATTAAGAATTAGATTTAATTTTTATGCCAAACTGATATTTTGAATTAAGTTAATTTAAAATATTTGCTTCTAATATTTGTATTTTTTGTATTTTTAATTCAGTAAATTTTAAATATCATCATATCATATCAAGAAATTTTTAAATGTATTATAAATATCATAGGAGATATTTTTAATTCGATCTAATTTTTATTTTATTAAATAAGCAGATATTTTTAATTCAATGTGATATTTTTAATTCCGACTGAAAGTTTGGACACCCCTGGCATTCCAAAATAATTTTGTCGCTAGATGGCGGCACAATCATTGAGATCTAGGACGTACTTGAGTTCGATGTCGCACTGACCCAGCGTGTGCTGAACAAGGACAGTGCGCGTTAGTTTGTTGTTGGAGTGGGTCGGTTTTTGTGTCTTGTGGAATAACAAGGTTATCCAAACTCTTAATCACTCGGAATTAAAAATACCACATTGAATTAAGAATATCTGCTTATTTAATAAAATAAAAATTGAATCCAATTAAAAATATCTTCTATGATATTTTTAATACATTTAAAAATGTCTTTAATGATATTTTTAATTTAGCGAATTAAAAATGTTTAACAAAAAATTACAAATAAAAGAAGCAAATATTTTAAATTCATTAAATTAAAAATATCACTGGCATAAAAATTAATTCTAATTTTTTGTTAGGCGAATTAAAAATATGTGTTTGACATAAAAATATATAAAAAACAAATATTTTAAATTAACTAAATTAAAAATATCAGTTTGGCATAAAAATTAAATCTAACTTTGAAATATCTGCTATGGTATTTTTAATTCGCAGATTTTTTAACAAAGTTAATATCACTTCCGGCCAAACCGGAAGTGGCATTTGGTTCAAAATATTTTAGAAAAATAGACTTAAATGAATTATAAACGCTTTTAAAATTTCATGTCATCTTTTTTCCTTTCCCAGAAACTTCTAATGGACCACGAATATGAAACACCCTGTGTACTATATAGGAACCAACAAAAAATCCAATATTTTTACTAAAAATAACTTTTTTTGTAAATGGAAATTTATTTATTCTTTGTTTTTAAGCACGTCTGGTTTAAACCATGTTTAAAACCCTAAATAAAGAATACACAAAAGCGGAAAAAATGTTTAAACTCTTTCTTACATTTAAAATATGGTAGATTCAAACACAAAATATTATTTCACTAAAATATAACGTTTTGCCCTATGTTGAGCATTGACTTTAAGGGGGCGCAATAATTTTTTTGTCACTTGTACGATACAAGTTGTACCCTTTCTTTTCTAACGCCTTTAATATATGAGTATGAGTATGGGAACGTATGGCAGGCCCTAAAGACATTATCCTCCACTAATCTCCCAGGGTTATTTTACCCCCTTTCCGTTCTCCTGCGTATCCCGTCAAATCACAGCATTACCTGTGTTTGTTGGATCCGAAGTTTTTACGCCGGCTGGTAGATCCACCTTAGGAGGTCGTGGATGACAGTGTCTATGGTTAAGGCCGCTCCACGGATTTTTATCAGCCGGGTCGGGCCATACGTCCAATTTAGGAAGGCTTTTTGGAGAACATTGAACTGACCCAAAACTAAGTACAATCCGGAATCCTCCACAACGTGGGTCTTAATAACAACCCCCATTCAATTGTCCGAGTCAGTATCAGGTTCCTGGTAACCTCTCTAGAATTGTTTGCCCCCTGTGTGATACATTCAATAGGACCAATGCGCATAATTGTTGATTTAAAAGCCGAATGATACCTACAGTCTTTAAATTAAACTTGTACAGTTTTGAATATACATTTTTACTACTACAAAAATGTACAAAGATTTCAATAAAGCGGTTCAGACAGTAAATTTGGTACATTCAATGTACCAAAAACTGTTCATTTAATTAAAACTTGAAGTAGTTTACTTTTCTCAGTGTAGGGACCTGTTTGATTTCTGAAGATGACATTTTTGGCAACATTGCGAATTTGCGTATATAAACATTTAACGATTAAATTATATCAGAATCGAATTGGTACTGTTATTAGGTCATGCAATTTAGAAAATTACTTGGCTGAACTAGTTAAATTCTGCTTTCCTATCCCTAGCGGACAGACCGCGCTCCTTGGCCCTGCCGATTGTGATGACCATACCATACCATAAAATAAATTAATTTAGATTTAAAAAAATTATTAAGAATTAAAAAATATATATTAAATTGTATGATTAGAGGTGTCCCTCTATAAACTGTATGTTTCTTGGGATGAAAATAAAGTATTTTATTATTTATTTATACAGGTGATCAGGAGCGGTCAGGCAACTCATCGGAGTGACCCAACCTTATTTACTCACTCTCACACAAACCTCCACGACGCTACAGCACTTAGTGACTTAACCGGGGGCCACCTGCACTTTTCAAACTTAGTATTATTTCCTTTCTTTTAGCACTTGGATCAGGGCTCACTGCATCACTATAACATATAATTTTAAATAAGAGAAATTAATTTATGTTAAAACGCTCGAAATACACTAGCAAATGCAAAACATAACTGAACCGTAACCGAACCCTTTAAATTTAAAACGGTTTCAAGGGTTTTTTCTTAATTTCTTTTTGCAAAAAAATATTTGAGCACGGGCTATAAATCTATAAATTATACACTCTAGCACAAGTATTGTTAGCGTTCCTGCTGTGTTAATACCAATTGAAAATGTTGTATAAATAATTATTGTACTTGAAATTAAAATAACTTTATTGAAAAAAGAAAGTTGTCATATGTATACATATGGGTAATTCCACGTGAATTCGACACGAAAAAAAACCCTTGTCATTTCGAAATTCCATGGCAATTTTTCCATGGGTTCCCTAACTCAAAATAAAAATTCATTTTTAATTTTAGCACGGTTTGTCAATTGTTTTTGGAGATATGATTTTTTTAATTTTCATGATTATAACGATTTTGCCAATATACACTGTATTTTTTTTTAATTTTAATTTTTTTTTGTTTATAATCTTTAAGCGAATACAATTTTTGTTATCTATATTAGATCGGGGCTATCGAAAAATTAATATTTTTTTTTGAATTTTAAATTTTAATAATTTTGGACATTTTGTTATATCAAAAATGATATTAATAATATTTTTTTTTAACGATTTTAATAGTTAAAAGGGCTAAATATAAAAAGATTAAATAAAAAAAAATCATTTTTTATATTACAAAATGCCCGAAAGTGAAAAAAATCAAAATTATTAAAATTAAAAATTGCGAAAAAATTATTAATTTTTCGATAGCCACGATCTAAATTTGTCGTTTCTCTCGGAACCGGAACCGGACAGGAACCGTTATTTCATTTGGGTTCGGGTCCCTGTGAGGCATCTTGGGAGGGGCATCTTGTTAATAAACAAGTTTTATTGTATTTGGCCAGTTCTCACAAGGGGCCGTTCATTAATTACGTGAGACAATTTTGGCGCTTTTTCGACCCCCCCTTGATGAGATGTCGTGAGATTTTGCTCGACCCCCCTCCCCCCTCCCTTAATCTCACGTGAGATTTTTTTAAATGCATGGTTTTAATGTAAATAAGTTAATCTGTGCTTAATTCCATTAGATTTATTTAAAAAAACAATTTGCTTATAATTGTTTACTTAATTTAACCCAGTTTTCTAGCAATTTTAAATTTTTTCTTTCGGAAAAAAAATTACGTGATATTTGCCGAGACACCCCCTCCCCCCACGTGAGATTTGATGAGGTTTGGTTCGACCCCCTCCCCCCCCTAAACACCTCACGTAATTAATGAACGGCCCCGAAGTAGAAAACCATTTTTGAAAGTTTGATTGAAATACTTTTCATAAATTAACTGTTCTAAATAATCCAAGTTTGTCTCAAACCGTCTTTAAGACCGTTTCAGACTTTAGACTAATAGCTACCAATTTTTTAATAATTGACGGGTAGGCCGTAACAACGTTGTATACATAACAAAATAAGTAAACGAAATAAATCGCAAAAAGCGATAGGAACTCATTAAGGTTATAATAAAATGTCATAGTTGGAAAGTTTACTAGATTTGCTATAAGAATATTGATTTCTATTAAAAAAAGAACATATAATACGAAATATAAAGGCGTAGAGCTCATTATTGTAAAAATCGCCTGTAACAAAATGTTACTTACAACGTTGTTACGGCCTTCCCGTCAATTGCATACGTTATTTCCTGATTTTGTAGCATGTTTCTCTGTTTCAGTGTCGCCAGCAGGAGTGAACGGCGGCTACTATCAGGGGGGAGGCGGCGGCGCGCTGCCCGTCCAGCAGGCGCACTCGACGACCCCGCACGAGGCGCCGCACACGGTGACGCCCAGCGCCGTGGCGCCGCCCACCTCGCAGCCTGCGCCGCCCGTGGGGCCGCCTTCAGTACCGGCTCATGCTCTAGTGAGTACCACTACGGTCGTTAAGTAGTTCAAAGGTGTCAGTTATTTCACTTACGCAAGCTTGCGTTGCTTTTGCCTGACATTACAATGCTGCAAGTTTTAAATTTTAAATGCATTATTAATAGAGATTATGTAATTTGTAAACCAGCTGTAAGGTTTTTAATTCGTGAATGAGACAAAACCCGCGTAAAAACTCTAAACAGTTCTGAAAATGACTAAAAATATAAATAATAATGAACCATCTTAAAACCCTTTTGGACTTTTTAAACCATTCATAGTCTTTTTATACATGTTACCAGTTAAAAAGTCCTTTTCAATGTGTTGTAAAAAAGAGAAAGTTTTTTGGGAAAAAATTACCTTTTGTGATTTTATTATAGCATTAAATCCTTTTGCATTTGCGGTCCATTTTTTTAACGAAATGTTATTCGCAAATGTGTTTATAATAGATTTTTTTCAATTCAAAATTTGATTAAATTGTTTTCGTAAATTTATTTTTTACATGGTAAAATGCAATACATACATTTAAATAAATCTAAATTAAGATATGATGTTCATCAAATTTTGAAATAAAAAAACCTACATATGTTTGCTTACATTAGCAAATAATATTCTGCAAAAAAATGGATCACGCGTCAATTAGGATCTGGTTTGGTAATACGTTTAAGAAATATTTACCCTATAACAAGGAGTGATATTTCAAAAGGCCTTATTTCCATTTTTACTTGAATGTAATTTTTTGACAAAATCCCAAAGGTATGGTTAAAAGGCATATATTAACGGCGAAATATGACAGCAGGTCTGAAGTATTATTAAATATTCATCAGAATTTTTTTTTAAATAATCTATATTGCCCTATCCTATACAGGTTAGAGTCATTTTTTTGAAAAATTGTTGCAAATGGAAATACGACCTTTTGAAAAATCAGTCCTCAACTGTAGAAAATCTACCATTTAAAATAACAACGCTCAAAGGTTTTTTATCATTTCATGATAATAATGTGGTTATATTAAAGCACAAATAAAGGCCCTGCTGCGAAAAGAATGTATATTTTAATAAAAAATTTGCGCATTTATTTCACGAACATTACACATAATTTAATAATAATAACACAAATAGAGAATTTTAACAAAAAAGTGACAATACATTTTTAGTATTCGGTGCTACATTATACATTATATTATAATAGTATATTCTGTAACAAGTTTGGAATACGGCATATTCCGCCCGAGTGAAAAGTTTGTCACACGAGCCGAAGGCGAGTTTGACAGTTTCACGAGAGGGGAATATGCAATTCCAAACGTGTTTCAGACGATACTTTTTCTACGTTTCAAAAAAATACCATAGAAAAATAATTTAATTAAAAGAAAGTGAGGTTGGATCGGTCTAAAATTTGTTAGATATTAAAAACAGAGATGTCGCCACAAGTGTTTATTCTGTCATCAGATGATAGAATATTTCATTCTGTAACACTTTACGGAATATATGTCATTCCATAGATAAAAGTGATAATAGAACGGTCATATTCTGTAATAGGAGTAAAAAAAATATCACATATTATGTGACGCGATCCAAGAAATTTTACAGCAAAGGCGACATAAAAAATTAGTAGCAATTTTAATTTTTTAGATAAACAAATTCTACCTGGACCTTTTAAAAAATCGTTAACCTATATAAAAATTGTATTATATTAGTTAAAATAATGATAATTCTGCTCTTGACGCTTGAAGTGTAAGCATATGCTCATCGATCTCTCTTAAGCAGCGTATACGATACAAATGTAGTAACGTGATAACTGGTTAACGCCGTAAAATAATAAAAAATCAATCGATTCTAAACGTGATAACTGTCCCAAGTGCAAAAAAAGTGCAAATTGTGTGTGGTACCTCCCCCATTGATTAAATCCTCAAGTGTTGGACCTGGTTAAAAGGTGTGAGAGAGACGACACTTCCACGAAATTTACTGGACTACCACACGTGCGAGCGGCATGGTCAAGCTAAGTTATTTTTTCAATTGCATGTCTTACCGTATATTCGCTAAATGTTTATAAAAGCATTTCACAATGTTTATGTAAGCATTTCACAATGTTGCAAAAAGAAAATACTAAGAATTCTTTTATTGTCTCAAAAACTAAATTAAAAAAAGAATAAGAACATTTCCTTAAGTTTAAACAAACAACCTCATTTTCTCATAGCAGACAAATCATAAACAACCATCGAAAAAGGCGTAAGATAAATAAATAATAAACTAAATATGCAAGAAGACAAAAATAACATAAACAAGTTGAGTGTGAATAGCAGTATTGCCAGATGTAAAAGTTGAAATTAACGAATTGGGTAAATAAAATTATCGAATTTTCGGAATTAAGTTACAATAATTGTAATAATTATGTAACAATAATTATTATAATTTAATCATAAAAAAAAAGTAAAAGAGAAAGAAGCGAACTTTTAGAAAATCTAAAATTTGTAAAAGTAAAAAAAATACCCCCACTGGGAACTGCCTTATCGCAGCGATTGCGGCCTTACGCTCGGCACGAGTGATGGGCTCCTCCGCGGGGGGGTGCAGCCTCCCGTGGCCTATACGGGGGATGGTCTACACGGCGGTAGTCGTAGCACGATTGCCGTTGTGTGGATTGTCTTCCGGGGGGTAGTATTTCTTTGCGGGGGAGTTTATCATGTGTGCCGATTATCGTACCAATGGGAAAAACCATTACCAAAAGGGTAAGAGTAGCCCAATTAAACACTGGGTCCACGTCACTCGTAGACAACGCAACAACATACTACAAGCCACCCTTAAACTAGATCTTAAAGACAAAAAAAATCGGTAGACCATGCTTCACATTTCATGACACGTAGCACAATACATGCACTTCTCACAAAGTAACAAGACCAGTTGGGAGCAACTAAACAACAATAAAAATAAAATAAAATAAAAAAAACAACCGACACACTTTACCAAGTTCAGGAACTATCCGACACGGATAATGACAATAATGAACAAGACGAAGACCTCGACTAGGAAACTACACCCCTGCAGCGTAATAACAACTCCCCAACTCCAAATAGTAATCCCAAATGTTTGGAGTAATACTAACCGACTGGTCTAGGGGGATTCCGCGTCGTACTTAGTTTTAAGTCGGCGTAATTGTCCCCCAAAAACCAACTCCCTCCCGTCCCTCATCCATACCTCACTGAGCGTATAGCATAGGCCCGGCGAACCCGGGAACGGCTATTATAACTATTCGCCTCTCGCTCTCGAGCCCCAAATAGGGGACAGTACAGAACGCAATGGACATTCGCACCCAGCAAACACGGGTGAAGCCGTGCAGTTGCTGGGGAAGAACAAAAATCGGCGTAAGTAAACATAGGCCTGTACGGGGTTTAAGAGTCAAGAGGAAATGGGGCTGGTTATACGTCTCTTATACTCATACTCATACTCATTAGTTAAAATAATGATAATCTTTAAAATCATTTTTGGATACTCTCTCTAATCGCGTCACATATTTAGAAATTTTAAATTTGAATTGAATGTCAGAATTTTAATATTTTTTGGGTACATAGAAAAAGTATAGTCTGAAATCCATTTGGAATTGCATATTCCGCTCTCGTGAAACCGTCAAACTCGCCTTCAGCTCGTGTGACAAACTTTTTACTCGAGCGGAATGTTCCCTATTCCAAACTTGTTACAGAATATACTATTCTGATGAAAAAAACTACCAAATAATAAGCAATCAAATCAATTATGGGAAATGAAATATATTTTATATTTCACTTTATTTTAAATATACTCCATTTTTAAGATATCAACGTTAATTATTGACGGAATATATTTTTGTGAAATATCGTATTGAAAAAATGTTAAATGTTAAACTTTCGTCCCTGCTATTGAATTAGCTATGAAGAAAAAACGTTTTTTATAACTCCAGTGTTAGGTATTGTGAGCATTTTAGATATCTCAATATTGTTGATACTTTTTTCAAAATAATAATACCTTTGTAGATAACCCTCAAAGTTAAAAAAACGTTCTTCTTGCAGCAACGTCCTTAAATGTATTTTTTGAGTATGATAAAATGTTGACTAAATGTCTCAAATATTACACCTTACAGCAAAAGTTGTTTTTGAACTTATTAATTATGCCTTTAAAAAATTTAACTTTATCCAATTATATTCCTGCATGATAATAATGCTTAACTCTTTTTACTAAAATTCCTAACAAAAAAAATGTTATGTGGAATGATAAATTCGCCCTTACCTATAAAGAAAAATATGTCTTATTAATATAAACCATCAAAAATGTACATATATCCTTAATATTAAGGTCTGTATTAAAGCCCAAAGTTAAGAGTGCTTTGTGCACAACCACAACTCCCAGCTCTGTATCTGTATCGCAATTTTCTCATTCCATGTCACTTATAATATTAAGATTGTTCAATTATTTGTGTATATTTAGTTATCTTGGGGTATTCTGAATAAATTAATTTTAATATTTAATGTATCTGAACTCTAATTTAAAACATTGGCAAATAATAATAGTAAATAAAATAAAGTAATATGTCTTTTACATTTTTTCCACATTTTTAACTTAGAAATATAAAAATTAAAATATATAGCATATTAAAAATATGCTATATGAAAAATATAAATAGGTTTTCAAAGTATGATATTATACTACAGTAAGCTTTTTAAAACGTCGAAAAAAAAACGAAAAATTGTGGTAAAACAGTTTTTCCCCAGGCCTTGAAAATGTCTTTTTGGGATTGTTTTTGAAAATTAAAAATAAACATTTAATAAAAGGAGCATGTCCATGTTATTTATGAATAAATGCTATATTTTTACTTAGTAAGGCCCTTCACTACTTTTTTAAAATTCAATTTTTTCGAAAAAGGAAATTTTTTCCGGGCCTTTTAATCACTACTAGCAATTTAAACGAAAAAACTGGGAAATTTGCAGAAAATTTCACTTGCATTTTTCCGTATTATCTGTAGTAAGTCAATTTTTCTCTGAAATTTGAAAAACAATTTATTTTTTTAATTAGCAATTTTTAAGTAATGTCGCAGTATAAAGTATACTGTGGTAATGTTTTGTCAAATCTTACCTTTTTATGATTCATGAGTACCTATTCCAAATTTTATTATTAAAGAATGTTTGCTTCTCCTTACTTATTTGCCTAACACCCTGTATATTTACTAAAAATGTATCAAGAAAAATTTAAAACAATACAGTTTATTTTTTTGTTGTAAATGTTAAGTTTGTGTTTTTGTTTTTATAGCCGATAAGTACCCCAGACCCTGCAAATCATCACGCATCAAAGCCGGAACCGTCGGAGGTGCACTAACGCCGGCCACTCTGCAATTACAGTTTTAAAATTTGTCTGAAATTTAAAGAAAGCAAAATAATTAACAAATCCATTTATGTTTACTCTCTTGGGCTGAAAACTGCTATGAATGTGTGTGAATAAATCTTCTATATGGTGATGATGCGTAAGATGTCCGAATTGGTCACTTTGAAACATGCAACAAGTTTTTACATTATTTTCGTTCAAATGTTTTTAAGGTATACATATCGTAAAAAAATGGAATAGTTACATCACAAACAACCCAACAAATAATCAACATAATAATAGGCCAGTGGCCGAAAAACTACAAATTAATTTTCTATCGGGATAAATTGATTTGATTTACTTTAGTGTCAATTAAGGCAGTTTTAGTTCCCTGAAGTCTTACTAAGCCCTGCTTTTTATTATTTTGTTGTGAATCTACTTATTATATCTGAGCGCTGCCTTAATTACTCATTAATATGGCTTAAATTGATTTTCTTATAATTTTAATTAATACAATAGGTAACTGACCTATCAAGCAATTACTTATGCAATTCAGTAAGCTCACTTCGCTGTCCCATGAAATAGTTGTAGTGTTTTATTTGTATGTATTTTTAAAAAGGAATATCAAAATATTTATGTATATAGTATGTGAGTATGTCTGGTTTTAATCAATTTTGTCCACTGTTTGGTTCAAATTATGTGATTTTTGTTCATGTCGGATGGCTAAATGAGAAGACTTGTATAAAAAATATGATAACTGAGAGCATTTTTTTTCATTATCCTTTTTTTGTATTCTCAATCAACTTGTAAAATAATATATTCATTGCTTTTTTGTACGGGGGTTTGTTTTTTGTGCGGCCAATACTGGGTGTCCAATATAAAATATTGAATTCATTGGTGTATAAAGTTATTGAGCCCTTTGTTGCTGCAAAAAAGCAGACCTCTAGTTTCTGGCACTTACTTATTTTAAATAGAAATTTTCGAGAGTTTTAAAAACAAGAACCTGTAGGAAAAGTATGTAAAATTACAATTTTACGATCTTTTATTACATTTTGGTGTATTGGTTTCTGTACAGTACAAATATATATTCTTTATATTGTATATATTTGTTTTTAAAGGTCTTGGATATTTTTGACCAAAATCAAAAAAGTGTCAAATCATATTTTAGTATAATAGGTTTAAATATCAAAATTTCGATCTATACACGTAACTATAGTTTTTCATGTAAAATTTCTTAGTTTAATATTAGAAATTGTTCCGATGACTGTTAATATTTTGATCCGTCAAATACACTGCGGTATTTTTTACATAAACATCCTTAGCTATACTGTGAATAAAAGAAATTTTATATTAAGATTTTTCCTTTTTACTATGTGTATAAAAAAATATTGTTTATTTAGAAAATGCTGCCCAGAGTGTATGAGCTGAGTGGATAGCCCAAACATTTTATGTTAAAAAATTTATTAGGAAAATAAACTACTATTAATTATATATAAAAGTATATATTGACAAGACTTTTGTTTAATAAAGCAACCAGTGAAGGTTTGAAGTGGACTAAAAGGTGAAAAGTGCGGTATTTTTATTTCGTATTTGTAGAATAATTAGTGATACTTGTGACTAATTTCAGTGATACATTCTCAAACTGCTTTTAAATGCATACTCTTGTTTCCATCATTACACTAACTTTAAATGGCATCAATTGTTTGTAGACACCATCATTATAATATTCTTTTAAATTGATCATCAAATAACAAAGTTAACAAACAATTTTTGCCTTGAACAGCAATACAACATTCCATTTAGTATCTGATTTGATTTGGCAGCAAACAACAAACGACAGTTACGGTGTGCTATTTGCTCAGTATATTTTTATATAACCCAAATTTTTAAACATGTTAAATAAATGTAGAAAATGGTTCACCAACTGAATTTTGGCCATTAAAATTCTATTCTTCTACTTGTTCTTTCACTTAAACGATCTGTTCAGAAACAAAGGTGTGCATTGCAATCATACAAACTACACAATAGAATCAGCATGTGAAATAAAAATTGTAGGGCTATTGGACTTCCACGAAATTTTGAAATAAATATCTTAAAAATGTTTCTTTATTTTATTTTATTACCCAAACTTACCTCCAATACTGCCTTATATAAATGGTGTCTCAATAGGAACCATGTTCCTATTTTTTGAAAAGTGCAACCTTGAAAATATGATTTCTGTAGTGTAAAATCATTCCGACTTTATAAGTCATGGAGCGGTATTCTCTAGAACAACGTGTTACTATTCTTAAGACTCATAAATATGTACGAAAAAGTGTTCCTGGACTTGTCATCGTTCCAAACAAGTTGCTATTTCGAGGAGCAGTTTACAGCAAATTTTAACAAAAGATATTTTGCATCCATACAAAATTCAATTAACACAGGAGCTAATCCCAGTAGTTCATGCTATGCGCTGGGAATTTGTTAATTGGATTCTGGCAAGGCAACAAGATGTTGAATTTGCAGACAATTTTGTTTAGCGATAAAGCGCACTTTCATCTCAACAAACATAATTGCAGAATTTGGGTCAATAAACCAGCAACAATTCATCAATTTTTAGACGGTATTCGACGCATTATTTGTGAAATTACAGCACATATGCGAGGATGTTAAAAAAAATTCATTAAATAAGGGAGGGAACTTATGCCAGCAAAGTCGTGATGGGCATTTGTCGGATATTTTGTTTCATGCATAGTCGAAAGTTGTGTACTTTATGGCGAAATAAAAATTATTGAAATATTGAAAATGGAGTAGAGTTTGGGAGTGAGTATGAGTATAAGAACGTATGGCTGGACCCATCGGCATCGCCTTACATTGATCTCCCATTTTTACCAACTTTCAGTTTTCATACGTATCCCGCAACTGCACAGCATTACCTGTGTTTGATGGATCAGGCCCTTCCCGGAATTTTGTCGCCGGGCCGGGCCATACGCCCGATTTAGGTTTTAGAAAAAATACAACTGTCCGTGGAACCATTATTTTACAGAATTATAAAATTCTTCACAAGAAGAATACTCTAAATTATATTTTACAAACAGCATACATTTTGTATGCTGTTTGTAAAATATAATTTAGAGTATTCTTCTTGTGAAGAATTTTATAATTCTGTAAAGAGTAATGATGACCTTCTACGGAAAATTCATTCGGCAGAAAAGTATTTGTAAGTTATAATGAAGTTGTACAATTGTAAAAAAAAATGTGTTTGGAAACGAGTGATATTCAAATACCCCCATCCAAATGTTCGAAACATATTTTTATATATAAAATTCTGCATTTTGGAATAATACGCAATTATATCATTTAAATAATGACTCGAATAATGAATTATGTAAACGATTTTCTGTTTTCTCGACCTCCCCCTTCCCTTTCCCCCTTTTTCTCAAAATTATTTTCGCCTTCCTAACGGTAAAAGCTCGCCGCGGACTTTTCTGCTTTTGGCAGTTTTTTAGGCTTTGTCCCGGATTTTGACATTTTTGATTTGGTCACTTTACCCATGGGTAAACAATTGTTTAACGTCTTAATAACTACAAAATCATAGCAGACATCCTTTAATGTCAAAAAATTACCAAGTGTCAGTGTCAAAGTAAATTTATCAAAAAATATTATATTATACGAGGATGAGTTTTGCGTCTCAAGTCGCCGAAGAGAGACTTAAATTATCCGAGTGAATAGTGCGCATAATCTCGAGTGTAATACGCATTACACTCAAGATTATAGTACTATACTTTATCTACTTCAATTAGTAGATAATTAAATGATTTTAAAAAATAAATAAATAAAATCTGACATCTGTCAAATGGTTGACCTCACTTTTTAGTACCAATTATCTCGAAAGAGAGAAAGAAGAAAAAAATTGGTAAAAAGTTTTTACCAATTTTTTTCTTCTTTCTCTCTTTCGAGATAATTGGTCTTGAGTCAATTAAGCTTTTACTGACCAGATACAAGATTTAACGTCCATGCGCTTCACGAAGCCATCCACCCACAGATATGTAAATTTTCCAATCTTAAATTTAAATCTCGTACAAATCACAAAATACCTCGCTAGGAGGTCAAAGCCTGCGATATTGTCAAAAAATACAGGTATATTTCTATACCGGGACGGTCCCTCCCAGGTCTCAATTTTAAATGTTATTATAGTCTCCTCCCAATTTAATACCCAGTCAGGTTCCAGCACTTGACAAGGCACAACGCACTATAGCGAGAGCTCTTAAAACGTAAAAGTTTAAAGATTAAAACCAACAAATATTTTTTTAAAAGTGCTAACCAATTATAGTGAAACAAACAATTTTCATAAAGTGCAAACTAAAATAGTGTAACGGTCAATAAAGAGTGAAGTGTTAAGTGATATGAATTAGTTAAGTGACAAGTTTCAGCTTCTGGTCCTATAGGTATACCACCTGCCATTGAACGCTTTTCGCTAGACAAACAAAAGAGGTCAAACAAGAGGGGAAGTGGCCATCCGCAAAAAATTGATAAGTATCCTTAAGCATATGCATGACCTTATGTTCTGTGTGCATGACCTAACACATAATTTGCAAATTAAACACGACAGATATCTTTAAAACCCTAAGAAAGGCACACTGCTTAAACTCTAGAAAAAAACAATAAACATCAGTAACAATAGAAACATTAGAAAGACAATACTAACCAAACACCATAAAATAATAAAGAAAAAAGACAAAACTTCCCAATCGAACTATCGCGGTGATACACAAGAGCTGTGTAGGACAATAAATTTGTCAAAAGGCGAAAGGCATGAAACCCAAACGAGACCAATAAACATTAGACACACAGAATAAACTAACACTCAATAAATTATTATAACCCTAACATAGTAAAAACAGCATAATAATCAAACTCAAACTCAAATTGCGCTTGTCATTAGTATAACTAATAAATAAATGCAATTGGAAATTAAGAAAGAAAAAAAAGACAAAACTCTACCACAAAACGTGCTTGGGCAACACAATAACTAAAACAATTGTTAGAATTCTAACAATTGTTTTAGTTATTGTGTTGCCCAAGCACGTTTTGTGGTAGAGTTTTGTCTTTTTTTTCCTTAATTTCCAATTGCATTTATTTAAATTTCGCACTACTGCGGCAATAAGAAATTTAAAAAAAACATCAAAAGCTACAAGTTACATATCCAGCTACTGATCAGTAGCTCGAACTATCAGTAGTTCGAACTATCTATTGATGGTTTTCGGCCTCAAGACTGAAGACACATGTGCAGGAACAATCCTACTTGGACACGAACAATAACGACAAAAACGTAGACCAAGACGTAGGCACCTGCAGCAAAATAACAACTCCCGAACTCCATACAGTAATCCCAAATGTTTGGAGTAATACTAACTGCCTGGTCTAGGGGGGTACCGCGTCGTACTTAGATTTAACCCCCAAACACCAAACTGTCTATCCCTCCCGTCCTACCTCCTTCATTACCCTACTGGACGTATAGCATCGGCCCGGCGAACCCGGGAATGGCTACTAAAACTATTGGCATTTCGCTCTCGAGCCCTAATTAATTATAATTAATTAATTGCACACAGTATACTGTGTGTATACATGTATACACACAGTATACTGTGTCCGTATACGTACGCAATGGACATTCGCAACCAGCAAACACGGGTGAAGCCGCGCCGTTGCTGGTGGCGAAAGAAAATCGGCGCAAGGGAACAGAGGCCTATGCGGGGCCCGGGAGCGAAGAGGCAATGGGGCCTGGTCTCTTATACTCATACTACTATACTCATATAGTCTCCTCCCAATTTCCCAGAGAGCCATATCAGGTTAAAACATGGCCAAGAATTGCCCATTACCTTTGGAAAAGTTTTGCCAATAAATGTACTATGTAGGACTGTATATTCCTATGGTATTTGTGCAATCGCGATGGCCAACAATAAATGACCAAATTGTGCCCAATAATATGCCAAAGCAGTTTGGATAAATTAGGTAGGTTACCGTTGGTTTAATTTTGGGAATGTTTGGGCATGGAAAAACGATGACAAATTTTTGATGTTTATTTGGGCAATTAGGCTTTTGAAAAATTGACCAAATATTGGTAAATATTTGGACAAATCCAAAGTATTAACAAATATTATTATTATATTTGAAAATTGGGTAAATAAAAAAATTTGTATTTATATTTTTTAATAATAAAAAAATAAAACAGTATGTTTCAATACTGGAACAGTGGTCAAAAATAATATTAAAAAAAACAAATGTATAAATAAAAAATATTTAAAATAATCAAAATTGTAAAAAAATATTGTTTTTTTATGTTGAATCCCAAGCAGTGATTTAATTGTTTTTTTGCAATAAGGCTTTTTTTTATTTCGGACCCGTTGCTTCGCGTTGTTTAAGGCCACGTCAAAGGACCTCTGGAATTCTAAAGCCCCTGGAGGAGGAAATTTATCATGTTCATGTAAACTCTCTAAAAAATACTTTAAGTAACAAAATTGTCTAGGAAATAATATTAAAATATAAAACATACGGTGAATGGCTTGTACGATTTTTGTTTTGGACACTCCAACACCAGCACGTCCAGTGCGCGTTATTTTGGAAGAAACTTCATCTGAGAAGGCTTCTTTGACAATTAAATTCACGCTGCCTACGACGTCATCGTCAGCGACAAATTTAAAGTAGCTAACCTATAACATAACAATATAAAAACACAAGTCTTAAAACGTATTTTGGAAGTGAAAACCATTTTTTGATACATGTTTACAAAAAAGTGTTATTTTTCTATGAAGAATGCACTGTTTAAGTTTGGCCCCCTAATTTCAGGACACCCTGTATACCTATCTATAGATTTCTTTAAGTGCAGATGTATTCTTGGTTGAGTTTTTCTTGTTTGACGGGTCAACACAAATTGTGTTACACAATTTTTTAAATTAAATTACCTATGTTACGTTTCATTACATTACTTTAAATGCTGGCTAAATCCACCTTTATACTTACTTGTTATAATATTATGATACAAATAGAATTACGATCAGGCTATCAAGAATTATGCTTTATTAAACATTAAGAAAAATAGTTTGTGATTGGTAACTTTAT